TCACCAGGATGATGTTTTGTATCACCAGGATGATGTTTTGCATCACACAAGGCCTGTCTGGGTGGTTGGTTCTCCTTGGAGGGTCATTCAAAGAGGTGGCCATGCCCATGCAGCAGTTCACACGTGCCTCAACTCACCTACCTCCAGCTCTGCCTGTTGATAAGCGTTGTATAAAAACATGTTCTTGGGTTATTTCAAGCAAGGCCTGGGCACCCAATGGCACCCGAATGCCCTGCCCAGCTCCACGGGTGGCCAAGGTTTGGGATTTGGGCTTCACTCACCCCTCAGAGCAAACCCAGTCCCCTGCCACAAGCCCAGAGCTGATGTGAAGGACACCAGTGGAGATTGCTGATGGGTCACCAGAGCTGTGTGGTGCTGGGGCTGTGGGGCAGTCCCTGAGGTAGGATGCCCCCCACCCACTGCTCCGCTTCTCCCTGCAGACACCATCTGGCTGCACATCAGGTCGCTGGGCCAGTGGACCAACAAGCTGTACGAGTATTTCCAGCAGCCCAAATTGTCCAGCCTGGAGCCAAAACCACTCAGCAGGAGCCTGAGGGAGAAGAGATGCCGGCGCCGGGCACAGGTTGGTGTGGATGGGGCTCAGCTTCTGGCAAACACAGAGGTTGGACCTTAAAATGCTGCTGGCTGGCAGAGGTTTGAGAGGTGCCCATGAGCATTGCAGCCAGTGATGCTTTGGCTCTTTGGCTTCCAGGAAGGTCTCTGCAGCAGGGCTGGCTCAGCAGGAGGGTCCGTGGCCACCAGCAATGATGGAGCCATTCAGCTGACATCGTACAAAGCCACTGGTGCTGCTGCCCCAGGAGAGGAGGATCCATCCGTGGAGGAGGTGAGGACCATCTCCCACCATCACCCAGTTCCACCAAGACCCCCAGGGTCAGCAGCAGAGCCCCTGTGCCTGTGGGGTGGGGAGGGGGTCTCTGCTCAGCAACCCAGCAGCAGCTGGAGGACCAGCTGGAGAAAGGAGGAGCATCACTTCCTTCCCAAATGGGCCAAAGCTGGTTAAAAAGCTCTTTTAAAAAGGAACTTCTGGGATATAAATGGTGGCAACTCCAGGATGCTGAGAACCACTGTTGGCTTCTATCCCCAGCGTGAAACACTCCCAGGACATGGATTCTGTCCAAGCTGGAGGAACCATCCTTGCAGATAATGAATTTCCACACATCATTTTTAATGAGTTCTTCTCTCCCTGTCCCTCTTTGCTCTTATTTGTCCCCTGGTGAGCAGAGTTCTCCATGCCTGTTCCCACCACCCAGGCCATCATGGTCCCAGGAACTTCTTACTCACCCCTCAACTCATGTGGGGATTTGGATAATTGCCTTTTTAATCAATACTCAAAATGATCACCAGCCAGATAACATCAGCAGGTGATGGGTTCCTGGTGTTGGACGTTGGTGGGATGTCCCACCACAAGTGTGGGCACAGCAATGGGTTTGGCTCAAGGGATGTGTGTGCAGCCTGGAGAAACTCAACTGGAAACAAAACCCACCCAAAAACCAAGCCCAGGGAAGGAGCAGGGTTAGCATTGGCTGTCAGGGAGGGGTTAGGGGTGAGGAGGAGGAGGAGGAGATGGTCATGGTTCTCTTCACCCCACAGGTCTCCACTGGGCTGGGTGAGACCCATCAGCTCTGCAGCATCAAGGTGAGGGATGTCTCCATCCTTCCCCTGCTCTGGTGAGCAGAGCTGTGCTCACCATCCCTGGGAGGGACCCACGCCTGTGCCCGGCCACCCAAGACATGTTCCTGGCCACCCCATACGTGTCCCTGTTCACAGATGGTCCCACCTGGGGCTGATGCAAACCCTGCACTGCCAAAGACCTTCATGCTCCTGCCTGCCCCCTCCTCCTCCTCCTTTGCTCCCCTCAAACTCCCACAAAAGACCCCAAGTTCAGCCTGGGCTCCACCAGCCTGCAGAGCACCTTGATCCCTCACCCTGCTCCTGTCTGCACCCTCAGAGTTGGTTTAGCACCACGAGCTGCTGGATCTCTCCCCATTTCTCCTCTCCCCTCAGTGCTACATCGACGGCCCCTACGGGACCCCGACACGGAGGATCTTCACCTCGGAGCACGCCGTGCTCATCGGCGCCGGCATCGGCATCACCCCCTTTGCCTCCATCCTGCAGAGCATCATGTACAGGTTGGCTCAGGCTGTGGTCCCACCAGCAGATCCCCAATATGAGCTCTGAGGTGGTTTTGGGAAGCACAAGATGTGATGGTTGACCATGGTAGACTCATCTTCCAACACTTCTTCCTGTGGGATGAGCACCATGGGGCAGCACCCATCGTGGCTCCTCCTCAGTTCTAACCTTGGGACTCATCACACATGGTCATGAGACCCACAGTTGGGGCCTCCTTTGGTGTCAGGCTTCCCCCTGGGGAGCTCTGAGGTGGTTTTGGGAAGCACAAGATGTGATGGTTGACCATGGTAGACTCATCTTCCAACACTTCTTCCTGTGGGATGAGCACCATGGGGCAGCACCCATCGTGGCTCCTCCTCAGTTCTAACCTTGGGACTCATCACACATGGTCATGAGACCCACAGTTGGGGCCTCCTTTGGTGTCAGGCTTCCCCCTGGGGATTCCTGCAAGACCTGCCAGACGAGGAGATGGCACTCAGGAAGGTAGGAGCTTGTGGAGGGGGGTGAAGGGACAAGGTTTGACCTGGACACAAGGGCAGGAGGGCTGCAAGCTCCTGGGGATGGAGAGCTCATGAGCATCCCTTCCTGGTCGGGGTGGTCTGGGGTGGTGGGTGGGTGGAGTTGGCCCCTGTGCTGCCTGTCAGCTCTGAAGGAAGAAGTGTTTTACACTGAGGATGGTGAGACCCTGTCCCAGGTTGCCCAGAGAGGTGGTAGAAGCCCCATCCCTGGAAACATTCCAGGTCAGGTTGGACGGGGCTCTGAGCAACCTGATCTGGTTGCAGATGTACCTGTCACTGCAGGGGAGGTGGGACTAGATGACCTTGAAAGGTCCCTTCAACCCAAACCAGTCTGTGGTTCCACGATTCTATGAAGCAGAGGCTGCTGTGTCCTCCCAGGTTGACTTCATCTGGATCAACCGGGACCAGAAGCACTTTGAGTGGTTCGTCAGTCTGCTGACCAAACTGGAGATGGAGCAGGCTGAGCAGGAGCCAGGAGGTGAGCGGGAGGCAGGACCCCAGCGCACTCCCCATCCCAGGGCTGCCCGGGCCCATGTTGGCATCAACCCAACCCAAGGTGGGCCACGATGTGGGGCTGGACCCCGTGTCTACAGCCAGGCTCCCTTTGAACACCCAG